GTAAAAGCTTCTGAATGGGTACCAGACAGGAGGCCCGTCGCGCGGCAAGAAGGCAGAGTCAGCGGACGAGTTGCAGCGCGTACTGTAGTGATTTCGCGTAAATAGAATGTACCATTGTACGTCCTACATCGCACATCACGCGCTGTGACTCGTCCGCTGACTCTGCCTTCTTGCCGCGCGACGGGCCTCTTGTCGGATACCCTCTTTTAAGTAGTATTAAACTTATACTGTAAATCTCAGATTATTGGCAATTTTCTTATGAATACGAATTTCTTCCAAGTTTGGAATCACGCTTATCAAAAGCAAGCTTTAGTGGTGAAGAGAGCGGAAAAATTCCAGTCTTTTAAGGGCTCGAAAATTCAAAAATTTTAATCTCCATGCTCAACGCAAACCACAATACGCATTTGTGTAGAACCGGAAGAGCTTTGAAGTCTGCGTTTCGGAGTGCTGAAATTAGCGACCTATCCTTGATCTCAGAAAAATAGTACACCTTAGTTTCACAAGATGCTGGGTTGTGAACAAAACTTTCGCCCCAGGCGGGACTAGAACAATCAAAAACAAGTACACCTTGGGTTAATTACTGGAATTTTTGGAATTTTCTGGAATCTCCTTGTTTGCATTGTAGCATTTTATCACGCTGCCCCGTCTACCTGAGCTTCAGGAATTGAAAAGTGTGGCCGTATTCCTGTCTTCGATTCGATTAGATTCGAAGCCTTGGATTTTGCCAAGAACTTCAAGCACTTCCAATAAGGATTTAGAAACCACAGGCTATAAGCAGCTGCCAGAACTGTACATTCATGGAGTGACCTAAAGGAAGGACAGGGGCTCGGAAGAGGAAGCCTGTGAGCGCACGCTCTCTCTTCTCGATATTCGCGAATGCTCGAAGGATGTGGTAATAGCAGGCTGTGAAATAGATTTGTAGGAAAACTTAAACTTCTGAAGCGTAGGAAACCTGAAAAGCTCGATATAATTAACATAGTAAAACTTGACTTAATATAAAAACTTAATATTACTCGAGTAAGGCAGAGTATATCGCCGAAACTCCGTTCGAAATCCTCTATTGTTGAGTTATATTATAGGATAGTGATTGGCCATGACTGGATTCTTTTTTCAGACAATCTGGACGGGTAGCCTCATTCAATGGCCAACGGTGGTACCGGTTGCACTGTTTTTTCTTATGGTGCCAATATTTCTATTGCTTCTTCTTCGAGCTAGCGTTTTGCGAAGCTGTCGTGCAAAGGTTTGTCAAGCTATGTTCACTAAAGTCGCTTTCAGTTCAGCAAGGGAACTCTGCAAATTGGTCTTAAAATTACATGATTATACAGCTAAGGTGCCAGAAGTTTCTAACTGTTTTGCCGACCTCTGTTTTGCAGATTTTCATGGCTTTTGATAGTGCGGTGAAACTCCAGTTCGGGGGGGCCACTCCATTGCTATCTTATCCGTAGTACTAGAGAGCAGTTCTTTGGGCTATCGAACACTACGGATAAGATAATAAGTGAACGACTCATTTCGAGCGTACTTTTGATAAGGACCGGTGGATGTCCTACATTCCACACTACCTGCCCACATCCCATCCACTTTTCTGCACAGGTGATCCACCCTGGAGCTCCTGCACCCTTAGCCCTTTGCGGAGGTGTCCTTTCTCCTGGTCCAGGACCGTTCCCTTGGGTCATGGCAGGCGGAAATGTGAAAACGTTTCAGGGTTTCTCACCCATTACACCGAGATTTATCAGAAGTTCACTTTAAATGAGTCGATTACGTGTCGTGAGCCCTCTAATCCTTATCTTGAGTATTGGAGAAAAAG